CTTGAGGTTCCCTGTTACAATTATAGTACAATATACTGCCTATTCGAATGATTAAGGCCCCTATACTAGGCTATTTTAGGCCTTTTTACTGTGCATTTGACAGGTGTTTGCACCAACATCTGCTGCAGAGCAGTGGTACTTTCGCTCCAAGAAACGTCACGTCGGCGTGCATCCCCGTAATTGTTGGTATAGTCGCGAGGTTTACCCACACAAGACATATCGTCAAGAACAGAAGTCATGGTAACTCTGAAACCCAGACCCTACCTTGAACTACCGAAACCCGATTTTCTGCCGGGCCTCTCTCTCTCTCTCTCTCTCTCTCTCTCTCTCTATATATATATATATATATATCTATATCTATATATATAATTATATATATATATATATATATATATATATAGATTCGGTAGTTGGGCTCATAATAAAAATCCTACATAAACGTAGGTTATGGTAGTTTCAGGTAGAAACTAAGTCCGAGGTGGTACCAGCGAGGCCCCTTACCCTAAACCCTACACCCTAAACCCTATACCCTAAACCTATTCCCTCAACCCTATAGCCCAAACCCTAAACCCGGATCCTTCTGAACCCTACTTCAGGCTCTCAAAAGGGACCTTGTTCGCTTCCCTGGATGCGAGGCTTGAGTCGGCTTTGGAAAAAGATGAAGCACTGCCGCGCAGCCGGGAGGCCGGAACAGGATAGACCTTTCAAAAACCTTTGGTTAAAAGAAATTTAAAAGACCCAAACAAACCCTAGGTCGTATGGATCATGGATCCTACTATAATGTTTTATGTATATTTCTTAAGGGATATTGGAATGTCTGGGCAGGATAGCTCGTGAACCCTGAGCCTCAACAACGATTCAAACCGTAAGCCCCCATCCTACGTCATACTGAGTAACGCAAGGATGAATACAGCGGGGGGGAAACAGAACTTGCAGTAGTGGATGCCGTCCTACCTCAATAGTTGCCAATAGTTCTAGATCTCGACGTTTATGGTTTGGGGTTTAGAAGGCTAGGGCTTCGGGTCACCATCGTGCGCTAATGCTTTCATTCTCCGACTTCAACCTGACTCGGCGCTGAGTCATCTTCAACGCAGAGCCCGAGTCTCATGCCACCCAAGAAGGGCAACATGGACATTATGCATCGTTACATGTATAATCAGCATGTGTGTATATATATATATATATATATGTGCAGAATATACAAGCACACGTTATATATATATATAGATAGATAGATAGATAGACAGATACTTATGTGCATATACATATACACACCTATTTATATTCAGATGTATACATATATACACATGTATAGACATACCAGCCTCAGCTTAGTTACACTCGTCCGGCAAAGCCGGCATCGGGCCCAGAAGGCGCTCCTTGATCTTCGATTTCTTCCATACATGCAAGCGGGTTACAAAGAGGGTATCTATAAAAAAGAAACATGCTGCAAGCGAGCATCGTCTTGCATAGAGGGTGTTTTGTTTTATATAAGAACCCTCTAAACAAAAGGGGTTTTACACTACTAAGGGGTTTGTCATAGTTCAAGGGGTCTCAAACCCACAACACACTGGCCCAACGCACTCTGAATCCTAAACCTCGAACTTAAAAGCTATCCAACTCTAAACAGACAAGAACTGAGGGTTTGGATTTCATGTTCGGGTTAGAGGGATGTCAACGGGACAAGCATGGTGTTCTGTGTGGGGGGCTACATTGGACTGTTTCTTCGATCTTCAAGGTGCGCAGCGTTGCCGAAATGCATGTGGCGCACTGTCATTCCCTGGCAGCTCGGCTTCGACAACAATGCTTTGGTTGAATATTTCATGCCACTACCTCTCCGCAGCTATTTGCCATGAATATGACAGAGAACTGGCCGCGTAGAGCTATTTTATTTGACTTTGGGTGCAGGGCTTTGGGGTGCGCAAGGCTATGCCTCGAGCTTGAGTACAGTCTTGATGTCCTACGGTTGATGGTATCAACCCTGCATTACCCATAGTAAGAAATATACCATAATTCCCATAGTCTAGGGTCTTGAAGGTATTGCAGGATTTCTATCATCAACCCTAAACCCTAAGACCTAGACCCTAACACCCTCTAGATGCCTTAAAGGAACCCCTTACAGGTACCCCTATCGATCCCTTTCAAACCCTAAACCCTAACACCCTATAGATGCCTTAAAGGAGCCCCTTACAGGGGTACCTGCCAAACCCTGGAAAAACCCTGAACATCAGCTCTGGGGCTCCTGGGATTAGGGTTGGATGTGAAACCCTACTTGGAGGGTCGGGGGACTTAGTAGGTAGGTAGTACCTAAAACCCTAAACCCCCAAACCCCCTAAACCCCTAACCCGAAACCCCCGAAACCCCCTAAACCCATAAACCCTAAACCCCAACCCCCTCAACCGCCTAAACCCCTAACCCTAAACCCTCTAGGCCCCTCACCCTAAACCCCCTAAACCCCCTAACCCTAAACCCTGAGTTGAGGCGTCCCGGCCACCAGCCGACGGCACCGCCGATGCCACGTGGAACTGGGCCGGGCTCAGAGCATGCTGCTCGGTCCTCGTAAGGTTTAGGGTTTAGGGGCTTAGGGCTTAGGGTTTAGAGGTTGAGGGTTTAGGGAGTTAGTTTGGGGTTTTGGGCTTAGGGTTTAGGGTTTGGTGGAGTTTATGCCGAGTTTTTGATTCAGGACTGGAAAAGGATGTTTGTAGCTTTGAGTTTACGATTCTTAGGGCTTTGCGGTCTAGGATTTCAGGGCTTTGCGTTGTTTCGGGCTTTAGGCGAGGGTTTTTCTGGTTTGAGGCCTCGGCTGTTTTGCTCCCGGGCATTCTTGCGGGCAGGGGCTTGAGTGGCGCCTTTTACTTGCCAGGGAGTCCGGGGCTTCACAGGGTTTGGGGTTAGGGTTTAAGTTTAAAGCTTAGGGTTTAGGGGCAACTCTCGGCTTTGGTGTTTTGGATTTTGTCCTTAGGAGGCATGGGGGTTGGGTTCAAGGTTAAGGGCTTGTGTTCAAGGGCATCGTGCCAATAATATGATGAGAAGGATGCATGAGCGTCGGAAAATCCAAAACCCTGTAGACCCCGGATTTTGGGGCGGGCTTGCCATGTTTGTTGACGGGAGCGTTGCGAAGACAAGGGGCAGATTTGGCGGCTGCAACATAAGCCCAATGCCCCTTCATTCAGGCCCCTATCCCAGAATATTACAAATCATGGTAAGACGGAAGCCCTTCAAATCACGTAGAAGACCTTCAAGTTACGGTAGGAATTCGAATACATTTCGAATGCAATTGTCGGGACCAGGAATTGTTTCTTGATTGCCGGGCATAGGTCCTTTCCCAAGCTCTCTGGGTGGCCCTGATACGGTTGATGATACAAATCCCGCATAACTCAAAACACAGAATATACCATGAGTCCAATGGTTTAGGGTCTTTCAGGTGATGCAGGGTTTAGATCATCAGCAGTGAGGTCGTAGGATCCGTGGCCAAGGTAAGCTCGCAGAGGTGATGACGCCTCGAGACGCCAAGATGCATTCTATGAACATGCAACCTATGTTATATATATATGTATATGTATATAGGTATAGTTATATATATATATAGATATGTGTGTGTGTGTGTATGCTGGAGGTTTAGATTGTGGGCTTTTGGGGTTTAGCGGCTCAGGGGTTTTACCGTAGGGCTTGGAGGTTTTGGAACTTATAGACTTAGGGAGTCGATCTTTCTGACGAGTGCTTGGAGGGTCGGGGGACTTAGTAACTGGTTATTTTAAGGACTTATAAGTACCCTAACCCCAGTCAGGGTCCCTTCTTGGGTAGTTATAAGTCTACTTACTACCTACTTACTAAGTCCCCCGACCCTCCAAGTGGTTGCTCTCGTAATTAGAAAGGCCCATGTCAACAGTCGTACCTCCACCCAAGGGAGCCTCAGCAAGAAGCCGTGACTGTTACCTATTGAAACTGTGCAGAAACCCCATGTTTGGAATTATAGAAGCTTTGTGCAATTTGCTGAAACCTTATTATAAAGCCCTGGCTGCAAAACCTGTATCATAGAGAGCCCCCAGAGGCCGCAAAAACCCTTAATTAAGGAACGTTCAATTGAATTATGCTAGGAACCATACTATGATTTAAAGTATATTGCTTAATCAAGGTGCAAAGGTATATAGCTTAATCAAGGGGCACTGGAATCCCGTAAACCCTAAACCCGATAGATGCCTTACAGGAGCCCTTAAAGGAATCCTGATACTTGGAGGGTCGGGGGACTTAGTAACTGGTTATTTTAGGGACTTATAAGAACCATAACCCCAACTGGGGTCCCTTTTAGGGTACTTATAAGTCTACTTACTACCTACTTACTAAGTGCCCCGACCCTCCAAGTAGGATCGCTTTGTAAAGGATTGTTGGAGTCGCTGGGTCCCCAGAGGAAGAAAGCACCGAGGACCTGGCCGGCTGTGCTGCAGCCTTCGCCTTGGCGGGGCGGAGGGACTTCCGCTGTCCGGTTGCAAGGAGACGGTCCTTGGGGCTTTAGGGTTTAAGGCTTTGGGTTGAGGGTTTATAGGGTTTAGGGGTTTCGGGTTTTGGGTTTAGTGCTCAGGGTTAAGGGCTTATGTTGGGTATTGTCCCCACTCTGTACTTTGTTTGACTACAGTTATAGGTTGTCCGTAGTACGACCCTTCATATAGACTGTGGCAGGGTGGGGGCAGTACCCAAGCTCTAGGGTTTAGGCGGGCAGGGTTCGGGGATTTGTCGCTTTATGCCTGTAGGCTTTCGCTAGGCATTTAGGTTTAGGCTTCAAGGTATACGGGTAGGCTCGAGTATATTGCTGTATACAACCAGTGGTGATGGTTGATGACTACTAGCTGTTGTTCCAGCTGTTTAAGTATGGCTTATGACATCATTGCCTTCGTTATGACTCTTACCCGGCTGTCCTGAATGATTCGTACGACATGTCTAGCTCTCCACTTTTTGGTTTGTACTGCTCGTATGGCTGCTGCGATGTTGATCCTTGTGGCATCATGATAATGACCGAGACCTTCAAAATCGGATTGGGGCTTTAGGGATTAGGCCTACGCTTCGGGTTTCGTACTTGCGAGGACGTTCAGTCGTGTGCTGGTCCGGCCACTCGGGAAGTCTTGGCTTTGCCATTTAATCGCAATGGGTTGAGGCTTCTAGGAGTTTTTTCGTTTTCATAAACCATAGCGCCGTGCGCCGAAGCTTCTTTGGTGATTCTGTCCACCGGTCTTCGAACTCGTTGTCTGAGACGAACGCAATAATGGCAGCCGAGGCGTCTTTTACCTCTTGGCCGAGGAGGCAATTGGGAAGGCAGGGCAGGTATCAATGCTATCAAGCCATGATTCTTAGTGCGATGTTGTGAAGACGCGGTGATTTATACGTAGAATTAAGTAGGTCTTGTAGTATCTTAACTAGGGTTATCCGAGCCCTAGACGGTGAACCTTTAACCCTTGAGACCTGAGAAGTGCCCCCCCATTGCCACAACCTCTTCTTGCTTTGCACCTGAGAAAGGCCAAAACCTTCGGTCCCGAAGAGGCTGGGCATGATGTTCGGCCCGTTTTGGTTTGGATTGTCTTGGGTTTACAGCTGCTTTCAGTTTTAGGTGCCGTGTAGCATGTGGCCGATAGCTGACGCGGAATTCCGAGATTGTCTCTTATCTTAGGGGCTGGGTAGGTGACCTGTCACCTTTTTTGGGGTATATACATCCCTGCCATACTTAAGATTATCATTTTTTTTTTTTGGGGGGGGGTGGGGCTAGGATATGCAGCTCCTACGTAGTGGCTTCGGTAGGAGCTGAGGAGCTTAAGTACTTGTTGTCGAATATGGCGCTACTGCAATTCCCAAGGGCTCCGGTTACCTCAATAATAATGGGTTACTGGGGTTAACCATGATTATTAATCGTATTAACCTACTATTGAGGTAGCCGGGGAATTTCGATTTCATTATGTAGCAATGAGCGCAGTAGTCAGCTTCATTGGCAGACCATCGTCCCAGTACCGTCGTCCTCATCAGAATCAGAAGCCTGAAACCCTAAAGCCCTAAACCACCCTAAACCCTGAACCCTACAGTTCTAAAATCTGAACTCTGGAATCAACTCCCTCGGACGCAAACCTTCAACCAAAACTTCGGGAAGGCCGCGGAGATGCTGCAAGCCTACGCAGACGTCAGAGTTCGCGCGCGCCTGAGCGGACATCACACAAAACCAATACCTACTGCTGCTAGCCAAGAGGGCGCATATATACTACTATGAATCGGGACCCCCAAACCATAATAGAGATGTCTTTTGGGACCTAATTTCATAGTGGTAGTATATATGAACCCTCTCGGTAATAGTAGTATTCTGCGCTCATGCAGCGACCGATGCATTTTGTATCTTGCCAGGCTCAGACTCCGAACTCCGAAGAGACAAAAAAGTGTTTCATGCTACCCCCTAGGGCTCCAGATGCAAAATACTACCCAGATAACTATCATCAGAGCAAGAATAACAGTAATAGTAAGAAAAAAGTATATAGTAAGTTGCCAACCGTACATGATGTACCCCAGTAACCCATCATTTAGGCCCTTGGGAGAGCTACAGTAATATGTATAGATGAAGATGTAGAGTACAATGCATAGGTATATGAAGAGAGCGAGAGATCCTGAGAGCTGGTTCAGCTGCTTCTTTCGTAGATGTAGCGTTCAACTAGCTTCGCTGTTATACGGGCAAGCGCAGGATGTTCCAGAGAATTCTCATCCAGGCTTTACGGCTAAAGATACAGTTGTGGCATCTAGCCAAGAAGAAACCCCATGTACACCAGCCTGCCTGCATGCATTGGTTCTTCCCCACTGCGCGCTGCTGCTCGGCGCGGCTTCGCAGATCTTTGCGAGCGGCGGGCTGTGAAGTTCGAGTCTCCCAGCTCTGAAGGCTTTTAAGATTTACCTGGACCCTGAAGAACCTACTTTGCAGGACTCCTTATCATGATTTCCTTATATAAGTCCTTAAAAAAGTAGGTTTTTCAGGGTCCAGGGAGGGCTCGGGTTCGGGTTATAAGGTGCTGTCCGGTAAGGGGGTTAATTAGGGTGCTCAGGGCTTCGAGAAGTCTGGCTTAAAGACACGCCACCTTGCTGGTTTTCCACAGTTTCGGAGGATCCAAAGGAGAGTTTCCGAAAATAGGGCACCCTGATAGGGTGCCCTAAGTAGTAGGATTCTTTCTAAAAGGGCCCCCAAATCAGGTTACCCCTCATTTTCGGAAACTCCAATTTCGCAGTCGCCTAGATTTTGCGAGTGCCTCACGAGTCCGAATCCTCGAGGTCGTTATGAAGTGCTGATGATCATGGGTAGTTTAAGTGGGGTTCTAAGTAGGGTAACCATGCTTATATCCGATATGGGGAGACTTAGAACCCCACTTACAACTAGCCCTGGACCTCTAAATGGTTCCAAACATCCGCAGCAAAGGATCTACCACGGCGGGGCCGCCCACCCACTCTGGGGTGACGAGGCTCGGGAGAGGGTGAAGTTTCAGCGCGATGCGCGCCTGCCCTTCGAGGACTGATGCCGGGTTTAGGCTTTAAGGAAGGGGCCTAAATACTTATTGGCATGTTATTGTTGGTGAATCCCTGCTATTTAAATTTACTTACAGTAGAACAGCACCGGAAATCCTATCTCGGGTTTAGGGTTTAGGGAAGCCTATTCCAATTATCAAGACCCCTAAACCTAGGGTTCTGTGGGGTGTGCATTTTGCGACTGCAGGACTTCTAGGGTAAATTTGTAGCGAAGCGCTCCTTCAAAGGTCATCTCAGGCTTCCTGTGAGGATTTCTATAAGGGGTGCTAAAAGAAGGGTTTCTGTTACCATGCGCGTTCCGGCTCATAAACCCCATGACGATCACTACAGGCATTCTGAGTCATAAGCCGCTAGCCTAGACTCCAGCCAGATGTATACATATGCATAAAAATGCTAGGTACATGGGGGGGGGACAGGGCACCATAGAAGCCAGAAAGTTGGAGCATTAGACTCCTCATGCCCTTAAAGTACTAGGGAATCCCAGCATGAATCATCCTAAATCTATGTTCCATCTGGGTTTCACGAAAAGCTCTCAGCCCTGAGCCGAAAGTTGCGAAAGCCCTAACTGTTGATGATACAAATCTTGCATTACCCTAAGGACCCTCAACTATGGGAATTATGGTGTATTCTGGGTAATGCAGGATTTATATCATCAACTATAAATCTTAGACAGTGAGAGATTTCCCTGCGAAGGAGACCCGCCCTAGCACGGCAATACTGGCACTCAGACACACGTCTGCTCTAAGAAATGTCCGGTTGTGACAGAAGCAGGGTGGCAGTTGCGGTCGCCAGTGCCTTCGATTCGTGTTTGGTTGATTCCTTAGTCGTCGTTATCGCCTGCATCGTCGTAGTACGACGACAATGCCGACAGCAAGAAGTGACGAAGACAACTACTTAGTCGTTTCATAATAAGGTTCTGTCGCGACGACAACAGTGTTAATTGCTGTCACTGTGGCGATCACTTTGTTCGTTGTATGCTCGGATGTGCTAGCCCGTTTTCCTCTATGCTAGATGAGGTTGATAAGTTTTTGTTGGCCGTCTGAGTCTTGCAAGAGGCTTGAAGGTACTGGAGACCCGCATCTCAGGATACCCTGGCTTGCGGACGGATCGGCTGGATGATGTTCATCAGATCTATGCGTCCAAAGTGCGCGAGGGTGGATCCGTCGCAATTGTCCAGGACATGCCGAACTTGCATCACAGCTTCGCTTCAAGTTTGGGCCCCAGAAACCTACACCCTATAAATCCTAAACATCCCTAAACCCCAAACCCTGGCGTCAGGTGCTCACCTCTCTAGCCCAAATCCTTCAACCAGACACCGTAGACTCCCTCAACAAAGCACAGAGCCCAAGCCCTAGGCCTCTATGCCACCCAAACTCAAAGCCTGCAGCCTTTCGTCATCGGTTCGTACTCTCCAGGATGACGAAGGCGTCTTCGTCCGGACCAAACTTCTGCAAAAGAACGGGGCGACCTCCTTGGTGCAAGGGTGGTGCCGACAAGGTGCCCGAGTTTTCAGGAAGTTAAGCGCAGCACAGCCTCGGATTCATAAAGTGTGGGGTCTACGGTGAGCCCAAAGGTTTGGAACCTCTCGGGTGAGGTTTTCGGGTTGAAGGTGAGGAAGCTTAGGTTAAGGGTGCAGGGATTGCCTATCTGAGTTTCAGTGTCCAGGGATTCCGGTTCAATCTAAAGGTCAGAACCCTATTAAAAACTCTTACGGCCCCTATAGAGTACGGCTGAGGATGTAAATCCTGCATTTCCCACAGTTCAGAGGCGGCTTTTGGTGATGAAGAACTTCTGTCATCAGCAGTACCCTAAACCCTAAACCGGCAGGGGTCTAGGGCGGGAGATCAGCCACCAGGACAAAGCACTCGTCTGCCCCGAAACTGCGAACATTACGACCTAAACGCCAAACCGCAGTATACAGGGTTTAAGGTTTCGGGTTTCCTATAGCCAGCCATGTTCGGGTTTAGGGGGCTTTTCTGCTGGATCACTAAACCCTATATAAACTCCTTAAATTTAAAAGCTAGACTGCACACCCTGTCAGAGGTCAGGATGGAGGCTTTGAAGTCTGCTCACGTTCCGGTCACTTCAGTCGTATTTGCTGCAGGTAGTTTCTCCGAAGCCCGCATCTTCACAGTCATCAGGTTAATGGTTTAGGGTTTAGGGTTTCCGCTGCTGCATTCTTCGTCGAGTGTGAAGCGGAATGTTTCAATTGTGGATTCAGGGTGCCTCCACCTTTCGTGTGCAAAGGTGGCATTACTGTGACCGGGCGATCTCCAGAACCCCTACCCTACTACTGTCCGAGGTAGACCGCGGCAGATAAGCCCCTTTCACTAAGGCCTGATATTGGACTCCATGCTGTACTGCTGATTACAAAAGGGGATGTGTTTAGACAAGGGCTCTGCGGATTCAGACATCCCTCGTCCAGAGTCGCCAGGTGACGAAGCCGTCCGGACGGTCCCTGACGAAGCCATCTTCGGCGGTTGGCCGGCCCTTTCCTTGCTCCTCTCACACCCCATGAAGAAGCTCAGGAATGAGATCGAGTTCCTGTGGCGACCTGCTGCAGAAATTGGGTTATGGTTTAGGGTTTATTCAACGAGATCGAATTCCTATGGCGACCTGGTGCAGGATTCCGGGTACAAAAGACGCCGATAGGTACCCATATTACCCCACAGGGTTCTTCACTATGAGTATCCTAAAGTGATACCCGCCCAAGCTGTATTCTAATTCGCACTTAGTAGCTGAGTGGATACACTTTAATTACACTTTTTGGGATAATACTACCCACTATAGAACTACAAGTGTACACTTTTTGGGGGCTTATGAACTCAGCTACTAAGAGCAAGGCCAACATATCAGACCTGGGACGCGAATTAATTGGGCTTAAAGCCAGGGACGCGGTTTAGGGTCTTAGGCTTAGGGTTTAGGCTTCGGGTGAGTTCACATCGTTCACGGATCTTGCTACAAGTTGTGGACTGTGCTTATATCTTAGCCGGCTTTTGTTGTATTAGTGCAAGCCGTCCTCGTCACAGCCAGCAAACGAGCGCGGGAGCTAGAGAAAGCTAGATTTTTCTTGCATTCAGGGCACCGCGCTGCTAGCTATTTCCTGCATTCAGCAACCAAGCTGCTACTTGCAGACATTTCCTTCATTCAGACACCAAGCTGCTAGGCATGCCCTTCGCTCGGAAGCCGAACTGCTGAACTTGAGAACTGCATGTTCCGCTGCTGTGGATATGATTGTCTGAAAGATTTTTCGACTCAAGATGCCCTGCCTGTTCGAGCATTGTCTAGCATTTTCTATCGTCGTCTAGCATTGTCTAGCATCTCTTGTCCTCCTTGACCTGGCCGGAATCTAGCATTGTCTAGCATTCTCTAGCATTTTCTAGCATGCTGTCTAGCATTATCTAGCGTTGTGCAACGTTGTCTGTCTAGGTTGGCCTAGTATTTATATGGCCGGGGCGCATGGTTTCGGGTTGAATTTTCCATTCTCGAGGCCAGAAAGCCTAGCACTTTTGAACTCTGTTGTGCTTCCGGACCTACCTTTTCATGCTGTCAAAGCCGTGAATCTTCGGCACATGAGCAAGGTAATAATCTAGCTTTTTCTAGTTTTTTCTCTAGCTTTCTCTAGCTTTAC